GTGTGTGTGTGTGTGTGTGTGTGTGTGTGTGTGTCTGTGGTTCGCCTACAGGGCGCAATTCTTCATGGATTTTCTTCAAACTTGGTATACTTATTCCTTATACCCCAAGGAAGATCCCTATTGTTTTTGGTGCATGCCCGACCCCCCGGGGCAGAGCCACGCCCATTTCTAGTATTTGTTTGTTTGTCGTCTACAGGCCACATTTCTTAACTAATAATCTTGAAACTTTGCATACACATTCTTTGTACCCTAAGGAACATCCCTATCGTTTGGGGTGCATGCCCAACCCCCAGGGGCAGAGCCACGCCCATTTTCTTTTCGTGTGTCTTTGTGTCGCCTACAGGGCGCAATTCTTACTGGATTTTCTTCAAACTTGGTATACTTATTCCTTATACCCCAAGGAAGATCCCTATTGTTTTTGGTGCATGCCCGACCCCCAGGGGCAGAGCCACGCCCATTTCTAGTATTTGTTTGTTTGTCGTCTACAGGCCACATTTCTTAACTTATAATCTTGCATACACATTCTTTGTACCCTAAGGAACATCCCTATCGTTTGGGGTACATGCCCAACCCCCAGGGGCAGAGCCACGCCCATTTCCCATTTTCTTTTCGTGTGTCTTTGTGTCGCCTACAGGGCGCAATTCTTACTGGATTTTCTTCAAACTTGGTATACTTATTCCTTATACCCCAAGGAAGATCCCTATTGTTTTTGGTGCATGCTCGCCTCCCCGGGGCAGAGCCACGCCCATTTTTTGTATTTGTTTGTTTGTCGTCTACAGGCCACATTTCTTAACGTATCATCTTGAAACTTTGCATACTTATTCTTTGTACCCTAAGGAACATCCCTATCGTTTTGGGTGCATGCCCAACCCCCAGGGGCAAAGCCACGGCTATTTTCTTTTTTATGTCTGTGTGTCGCCTACAGGCCACAATTCTTAATCAATCGTCTTGAAATTTTTTCATATGAATTGCTTATACCCTAACGATGATCCCTATTGTTTTTTTTACCCCCAGGGGCAGAGCCACGCCCATTTTCTTTTCTTTTTCTGTCTGTGTGTCACCTACAGGCCACAATTCTTAATCGTCTTGAAAAAATTTCATATGAATTGCTTATACCCTAACGATGATCCCTATTGTTTTTGGTGCATGCCCGACCGCCAGGGGCATAGCCACGCCCATCCATTATATTTATTTATTTGTTTGTCATCTACAGATCGCATTTTTTTATCGTATCACCTTGAAACCTAGCATACATATTCCTTCTGTCCTAAGGAACATCCCTATTATTTGTGGTGAATACCCAACCCCCAGGGGCAGAGCTACGCCCATTTTCTTTTTTTATGTCTGTGTGTCACTTGCAGACCGCATTTCTTAATCGATCATCTTGAAAACTTTTTTATACTTATTCCTTATAGCCTAAGGCTACTATTTATACTTATTCCTTAATCCTAAGGCCGACCTCTATTATTATTTTTGGTGCATGCTCGACCCCTTGGGACAGAGCCACGCCTAATGTTTGTGTGTCTTGTGTTTTGCCTACAGACCGCAATTCTTAACAGATCCTTTTGAAACTTTGCATACCTATTCGAAACGCCATGCTTTTAGAATAAAGACATCGATTGTTTTAAAATAAAATTGTGTTCTGTTAATGTGAACGAAGTGTTAAACTGATAGCAGTCCTACAACCCAGTTTTATTTCACAGACCCTCAATGCAAACTGGACCATATCAAACAAAACAGGAATGTGGACGTATATTGCTGCGTTAGCGATGCTCTTGTTATTTATTTATCCCTGGTGCTTCAAATTCAATTTAGGGTGCCTCAACATATTTAAAAATATGTTTTAAAGCTTTAGGTCATTTTATTATATCTTTCTACCATAAATAATAGCCCGAATTTAGGTATACCAAAAGTTAAAGAAATATAAACAGTTTTTGAGTCATTCAGATATGACTGCCAAAATTGTCACCAACACACATGTCGTGTTTAGGCTAAAATCTAACCAGAAAAGTATTGTCAATACATAATAAAATATATATTGCATTAATCAATTCCATTCCGCAATTGGTTTGTCTTAAACTCGTCATTTGTGTTCATGGGCATCAGGGTCGAGATGGCAACGTTATATGTTTTATTCGTCTAATTTACTATAAAACATCATTCGGTTTGCCTCACGGGTTAACGGCATATTAATAGCTTTATTCACTGAGATGGTTCCTTTATTTATAGTATATTTTTCGAATTGCTTTTTGTATTTATTTAAATGGAAATATTAACAACATTCTATAAGTCAATCCACGAACATACCCAATTTCAATATTTGCGTGTTGACCTTTAACATCACACTTAGATCCTGTACGCTTTGTGTCTTACAGTCAATACATGTCATGAAGAACTCCTTAGACATAATTTCGTTTATAATACTTTACTCGTTTCTATTGAGTTGTTTAGCAGAAGTAACCCATGACAACAATATGTTGAGACGACTACGTAACAGAATAGGACGATTCAATGTTATTAAAATGACACAATGACAATTTTAATTTTATTACCAACCCTTTCACAATATTTGAATGAAATATCTCACACAGGGTGTTAATCTGTTTTCAGTTTCTATTCCAATTCAATAAAACATTTAAAACATTTAATACATGTCTTGGCTTGATTCATTATTTACAATTTAATACGTTAATCGTGTATTTTAAATAATACAGTTCAAGAGATCAAAACATTTCCGAATTTATACATTCAACAAATACGTGTATAAACATTTATATGAAATATATTATAAACAGATATGCTATGACCAGAGTTGCCATTATCTTTATTATTCGACTGGAAAACTCCTGTCATTCACTCTGTCGTTCGACTGATCCATCATTCACGTTGTCATTTCCGAGTCTGAAATTTGGGGTATAGGGGTAGCTCGGACCGGGGAGTAACATAGGCCAGGTGGCGTTAGTCTACCACTTCCGGTTTCGGAGTTATGACCCCCGAGCGAAGCCGGGCATTCTTCTAGTATATAAATAAATATATAAATAAATCATCTTCATGGTCATCATCATCGTCATCATCACTATTTAACATCAATCATCGTCGCCTGATAATTACCTTATCTATTCAAAGCGCTTGTTTAGTTTTAAATACTTGTGAACTTTACTAAAACTCACTTTGTTGAACGGGTTACTTTCGTTGGTATCGCCATATAGGAACGCTTTTGTATTTATGGATTTAAATGGGAGGGTATTTAATGTTGAGATACGCTGAGACGAATAATTTGGGCAGTGCAGAAAATAATGGTCGCTGTCTTCTTGAGTATGACCACAACTGCATGTCGGGTTATGTGAAATATGCATTAAAAATCTATGGAAGTTTAGAGCACTTTTACAATTACGAAGTCTGGAATGTATAATCTGAAATTTACGTTCTCCATAGTAACATCTTACTGACATCAATAAATACAAAAATATGACTAAGTCGAAAGTCAACAAGACGGTATACAAGCCAAAATGCAAGTCGAAAATAAGAAATTAGGAAAAAAACGAGGGGCGCTATTATCGCAGTGTATTATTTCTTGATTTCCTATTTTCGAGTCGATTTTGGCTTGTATAGCGTTGCTGTCGCCTCACATTTTGTCGTAACTGCTACTTTTCGACTTTCGTGTTTTGGAGGGAGAAAAGTAGAAATTAAGAATGGTAGGCTTCTATAGTTAGGCGTTGGTATATATGACTGTATACTTGACACATGTACGACCTGAATGGCTGAATGGCCGGTAACCAAATATGTTATTGTGAGTGTTAAACGACATCGTAATTATTTTATATTTTGCAAAAAAAACAAACAACAAAAAACAAAACAAAAAAACACAAGCCGTGATTGCCATTACTACAATACGGATTACTAAATATACTTTGTGTTCAATTTTATATTTTAATACTGAAGACAGGGCCGGACTATAAATGAACAAGGCGGATCCTTTTGGCTTATATTGAGTAATTATTGCAACGTGTTACAGTTGAAAGTTCCAAAGCATTTTCACATTCCATGTCCGATAAATTTAATCATCATGCAACTACTGATTGGTGGGTCGTCGAAACATTTAGATGCATACATCACAGCACCGTGGTTTAGACAACTTGCAATTGAACTAGTTTTATTGTTGTACACATAATGAAAGAAACTGTGTTATTTCACAGCTGAATTCTATGGTAAGAACCGTAGAACCACCTTGTAGGGAATAACTTTTAAACTTTAACACCCTATACACACTCTGCCAGCGGCATCTTTGACCCACACTCTCTTAACATTAATCCAAACTTTAAATCTTTCAACGGTTTAACAAGAAGGTGCTAAATATTTCCATTTAAATAAATACAAAAAGCAATTCGAAAAATAAACTATAAGTAAAGGAACCATCTCAGTGAATAAAGCTATTAATATGCCGTTAACCCGTGAGGCAAACCGAATGATGTTTTATAGTAAATTAGACGAATAAAACATATAACGTTGCCATCTCGACCCTGATGCCCATGAACACAAATGACGAGTTTAAGACAAACCAATTGCGGAATGGAATTGATTAATGGAATAAAATATTTATTATATATGGACACTAAGTTTTATGGTTAGACTTTAGCCTAAAAAAACATGCGCGCTGATTACAATTTTGGCAGTCATATCTGAATGGCTCAAAAACTGGTTATATTTCTTTAACTTTTGGTATACTTAAATTCGGGCTATTATTTAATATATATATATTGATCAACAGCGGCGATAAAAATCATTAGTCTCGACAATGACTAGTTGTCAGTGAAAGTCTCTCAGGGGAGCCAGGCGGCTCTGTGAATAAAGAGCTGGCTTGAACGCCTCGTGTTCATTAGCCTGAATAGTGAGTGAATGCGGGTCATTAAACCCCAATTTCATTTCATAAATCACTCGGCTCAATAATGAGCTACTCGGGTTGGTTAGATCCACGCCTTAATGTATATACAACCAATAGAGAAATAGGTCAAATATGGCGACAATGATCAACTTGCTCTTCTTCTGCTAAATTAAAGATTCGTGTGGAGATTCTGTCGATATAATCATATATTTATATCTGCTCTTTCTTAAAATGGAGACGGTTAGTAAAATGGTCTTCTTTACGTTCCTAAATATCAGTATGACCTTAGTGAATACCGCACGATTACGATCCGTTCCAGACTGATAACTTTACGTTCCTAAATATCAGTCTGACCGTAGTGAATACCGTACGATTACGATCCGTTCCATACTGATACCTTAATTATAGGCTAATTATAGAGCCTTCAATTTCAAACACATTTTTATTATCATATGCTCTTATTTTTTTTTTCATCATTATATGATTAACATTTCCTAAACTTTACGATTTTCAACCTTTTTTTTTTAAATAATATTCCATCTCTGAGACAACAAAAACGTAAATAAATGGACACAGATCACTAAAGATTTCCCCATTGACTCCAATGTTAATTCTCGTATCTTAGACCGGCTCTAACTTTTTCCCAAATTTTCGTTGGGTAGAACGCTTTCTACCACAGATGGAGCAACATGTGGCAACCACTTGCCCAAAAGCACGTATGAGGTTCTTCATGAAAAACTTGAGATACACAAGCTGGAAGTAGAGACAAGTAAACATGCAATTTCAGGCCCTACATTTCAACGTAACCAACCTCTCAACTCTTGTATCCTTCCGCATCAAAATTATGAATATTCACCAAAACCTGGCAGAAAATGTATTTTCAAACCCTTTTCCTCAATTCTACACCAAAAAGTCAACAAAAATCGCCATGCAAAAGGGGGAAAAAGGAAAAGGGAGAGGAAGACTAAAAATAGCTTTGGCCCTTGTTTCGTGGGTGACGGCGTAGGAATATTTGGTGATCTGTGTCCTATATAGGGGTGAAACTTCAGGTATCACCAAAAGGCCTTTTTTATTTCCTTCCCATGTGTTCTGGCAACATGCCGGTGAAAGAAAATCAAAATCAAAGAATAACTGTAAAAATGATGGCCCTTTAAGTACACATGCTGCTTTATGTACACTGGTGCATCTCAGGTCCATAGGCCTTTTGTGCTAAAATTTAAAAATCTTTCTTATTAAAGGCAGTATCTGAGTTCTGTGAAAAAATTAGACAAGTTACAAAGAAACTACATAGAAAACACTCATAATTTGGAATTTTTTTCAAAAATATAATTTTTTACTGCCATGTGATGAAAAATGTACAAAATTTACATGTAGCATCTCTCAAAATACCAATAATTTTCCACTTTTTTAAATATCCGGACGGACAAGAAATATATTTTTAGAATCTGTGGACAATATGCAAACAGAAAAAATGCAAACCAGTTGCAATGATTGTAATATTAGAGATCTATACTGAAACATGTATGCCTACCCCCTGAACATGCCACTGATTGAATTAATCTAATCTATGGTTGCAGAACTTACATTACCAAAGGAATCTGTCTAACAGCTATGTTTTACCATCCCTGGCTAACATATGCACATATAAACTAAAATAGGTGCAATAAATATGAATTATGGTTAAAAATAGGCCTTGATGAATGAAAAAAATGCCATATTTGGTCTATGATCACCCCTCTCTAACAGAAGGGTCACAGAATACACAATTTTCACAAATTTGGGAATATTTCAATGTTTCCAACATCTCAAACCTCAGAGGCATGTTACAAATTTGTATTGCAATCCTTGTGCTGAAGCAAGATGTCTGGAACTTTACATTAATTTCCTGAAAAAATGAAGTCAAAAAAGTAGTCATGACAGACTTGACAACATAAAAAGAGGCCTGAAAAGGAGAAAAATTAACATTTTATTGTTTTATAGGCAACATAAATGCAGCAAACACCACAAATGCTGGATTTTGATAAGAAAATATTGAACATTAAACTGACATTTACACATCTACACCAGTTTTATATCTGGGTCTGGTCTCATTGGCCTGAAATGCCTCAGGGTTCTACGTTTGACTCTGAACAAATAAGGGTTAGAAATCCTTGAAATGCACAAAAAAAATATTTTTGGGTGAAAAATAACATTCTTAGCTGTAATTCAACCACAAATTCCAATTAAGATCATTTTCATGTCAATACAGGTGCATTTAAATCCCTCAAACACATTAATAGAAAAGGGTGGGGTGGGGCATTTATTGCCTCTCTAAACAGAATGATGGAGTAAAAAATGTCTAGAAAGGCTGGGATATTGCTTCCTACATGAAGGAAATGCAAGAATTTAATGTTTCAAAGGAGAAAAAAATGCTTATTCTGGGTAAAATAGTGGCAAAATTGAGCCAACCCCTGTTTTGAACAAATTTACAAACCCATCTGCTGTACATTATTAACTCAGTGTTACCAATTTTAAATTTTCTGTAGGAAAGCTGGAGCTATTTCTAAACCTGACAAACATGTAGATCCCATCTAAGTTATATTAGCAAAGAAAATATGGGCATTTTTAGACATTTTGACTCATTTTAGTAGTCATGAAAATATTAATTTCTACATCCAAATGGGGGGAATCTCAAGATTTTTTGTGAATATTCCTGATTTTTAGACAAAATTTGGTGAAATTTCAATACTGTTCACTTTATCTGTGCTTTCTGAGACTGAATAAGCCAACATTGGGCATTAGAATATTTTACTTACTGTTAAAAATTCAATAAAAATTGAAAATTGAGAAATTTGCAGTAAAATTACAATTTTTATTCAAAAATTTTTTTTTTTTTTTTTTTCATTAACTTTTTTTAGTTTTTCTGTAGCCAAACTATTTTATTCATATTTTCTGAGAATTTAATCTTCATATTTTCAAAACTAAGGCATATCAGTGACAGCCTTATCACACACAGACAGGACACAGATCACTAAAGATTTCCCCATTGACTCCAATGTTAATTCTCGTATCTTAGACCGGCTCTAACTTTTTCCCAAATTTTCGTTGGGTAGAACGCTTTCTACCACAGATGGAGCAACATGTGGCAACCACTTGCCCAAAAGCACGTATGAGGTTCTTCATGAAAAACTTGAGATACACAAGCTGGAAGTAGAGACAAGTAAACATGCAATTTCAGGCCCTACATTTCAACGTAACCAACCTCTCAACTCTTGTATCCTTCCGCATCAAAATTATGAATATTCACCAAAACCTGGCAGAAAATGTATTTTCAAACCCTTTTCCTCAATTCTACACCAAAAAGTCAACAAAAATCGCCATGCAAAAGGGGGAAAAAGGAAAAGGGAGAGGAAGACTAAAAATAGCTTTGGCCCTTGTTTCGTGGGTGACGGCGTAGGAATATTTGGTGGGTGACGGCGTAGGAATATTTGGTGATCTGTGTCCAAATGGAAGATAAAAGCAAGAAAGACAACCCTAATAAAGGAGTCGGAGGCAGACCACCATTAATTTCCCCATTGACTTCAATGTTAATTCTGGCCTCTTTGCCCACCTCCAACTTTTCCCCAAATTTTCGTTGGGCTGAATGCTTTTCACTACAGACAGAGGAACAAATGGTCATGTCTTTGCACTAAAATTTGTATGAGGTTGACCACCAAAATTTTGAGATACACAAACTTGAAGAAGCATACTAAAAACATGTAACTAGTTGCCGTACATATCGCCGTAGCTAACCTGATAACCCTCTTATCCTTCCGCCTCAAAATCATGAATATTTACCAAAACCTGGCAGAAAATGTTAATTCAAACCCTCTTCGTCCATTCTAGACCAAAAAATCAACACAAATGGGCATGCAAAAAGGGGAGAAAAGAGAGAGAGAGAGAATTGCTATAAATAGACGAACTACAATTCGTGGGTACCGAGATGATGAAATTTAATGGTGGTCTGCCTCCTATATGGTTTTATAAGTTCATATATCATCAAAATTCTTTTCTTTATAGCTTCACATTTATTTTTGCAAAATTATTATAATACAGAATCAGAAAAAAATAATTACTGCAGAAATGGTGACCCTTTAAAGTTATGTAGTGTTTTGTATACCGGATTGCAGCTCAGGTCCATGGGCCTTTTGTTCTAGAATTGAAGATTCTTTCTTAATTTTGTCGAAATGTGAGTTCTGCGAAAAGATTTAAAGAGTTTCAGACAAGTCACATCAAAAATATTCAAAATATTGGAATATTTTTCAAAAATTGACTTTCTTTTACCTTTTTCTACAAAATGGTCCATTTTTGACACTTTGTATGGCTCAAAATGCTAATATTTCCCTATTTCTGGGAAAGTCTGAGATGAAAAGCATTTATTTCTAGAAACCTTGGCCGGTATACAGGAAGACAAGCTGCAAATTTGTTGCATTGAAGGTAACTGTAAGGAACTATAGTGAAACCTGTAAGCCCACCCTCTAAAAATGTTGGTGTGGTAACAAATCCCACTTGTGTCCACATAAGTAATACTGTTGATGGAATATGGCTAAAAGCCATGTTTTTCTATCCCTGGCTTATATACATACATACAAACACAGTTTGTTATACGAAGTATGAATTATTTATTAAAATATGGATTGATAAATGTAAAATAAATGCTGTATTTAGGTGACAACCAGCCACTCTAATAAAAGGGTCGCAAAGCACTATTTTTTTTTTAAAAAATGGGAATATTTCAGTTTTAAAAATACTTTAACAATCAGAGGTATCCTTGAAATTACATAGTGTAAATATTATGTGGAAGCAAGTTGTTTTAATCTTTACATCAATGTCCTGACAAAATGAGATGGAAAAAGGGAGTTCTGACATAATTCAAAGCATAAAAGGGGTATGAAAAGGCTATTAATTAATATTTTATTGCCCTGTAAGTGCCACATTTTCAAAGATCACCACAAATAATAGATTTACATTCAAAATGTAAAACATTAAGCTGCAAAAAACACATCTACAACATATCCATTTTGGGGTGTGGACTCATTTGGAAGAAATGTCATAGGATTACATGTTTGACCATAAACAAAAAGTCTTAGAAATCCTTGAAATCTTATATGTAACTATTTGTTTGTGTCAAATAAAATGCTCGGTTACAATTCAAGCACAAAATCAGATTACTGCTAATTTGGAGTCAACAAATGTTCAATTGAATATCCAAATATCATCTTCAAGAAAAGGGGTGGGGTGGGGAGGGTGAGCCAGTCTAAATGAAATGAAGACAGATAAATTTCCCCTCTTCCTGCATTTTTGGGTTGACTTTTTGGTCTAGAATTGGAGAAAAGGGATCAAATTTGCAATTTCATAGCAGTTTTGGGTAATACTGATGATATTACAGCGGAGGGATAGGGGGTGTAAAGTGTCTTTCTGCAGAGCAATCATTGTGTCGGAAGTGAGATTTTCACCCCTGTCAACTTCAAATCCGTGTAGCAAAAAATCTAAACGGTCAACCCCCTACAAAATTATGATGAGGAGATTGCCAAATGTTGTCCCCATTGTGCCTATAAAGATTGATATTTTTTCAACGGCTTATTTCCTGAAGTTTTGAATGGAAAGTGTCAGAAATGGTAAGAATACTGCTTTTTTATTGCCCAGCAGTAAGTTTTTTGACTATTTGGTATCAAAATAGCCATGATTGGGGGTATCCGTTGGTTGAGTGTGAATTTTGGGTTGTAAATGTGTAACATTTTGTTCACAATGATATCAAAACATGGTTAGGTCTAAATATTAAGGCCAACTCAACTCCCGATTTGGTCTAAAGTCATGAGATGTAAACGAGACTGACCCTAACCCTAACCCAAGACCCAGTCCTTATCCTAACCCTAACCCACAATCTTGTCAAAAAGCATGTAGCCTAGGCCTAAGGAAAGACCTAGTTCTGACCCTAGCCCAAACCCACAATTGTGTCAAAAAATCATGTGCCCTAACCCTATTTACATGTTGTGACCTTGAACCAAGTCTGCAGTTGGCCTTAACATTTAGACCTAACATGTTTTTGACATCATACAATGAAATGTTAACATGTACACTCCAAAATTCACACCTGTGTGACTTTTGACCAAACATGCAGTTGGCCTTAATATTTAGACCGAACCTCAAAACATGGCATCTACCTTTGAGATTGGCTTAGACTTATGTGACACTCAAGGTTTACTTTTTTACTGATTGTTAACTGGTTTCTTTTTGGAGGGCCAGTGACGGGCTGTTCGCGAGAAATAAAGAGGTTTATTTCTATTTCCAGTTGAAACCATATTTTTTTCTTATTTTCTCACTGTTTTTTATTGCATATTTATCCCCAGCAGCCTATTTCTATTTCCAGTTGAAACCATATTTTTTTCTTATTTTCTCACTGTTTTTTATTGCATATTTATCCCCAGCAGCCTCCTATCATTTCAGGTGCCAGGGCAATGTTTCATAGAGTGGAATGATTGACCTCAACACAAGTATTAAAAAAAAAAGAAGCAAAACAGGTGAGATAAATGTGAATTTCATACACTTTAAGAAGTACATCCAACCTCATCCCCACTTCTGCTGACGAATAGTAATGGGCTGGAAATTTGGTACTGCACAGGCCTGTCTTCTCCCCTTTACATTTAACTGAATGACAGAATTCCACATTTTGACCATTTTCTGGATGTCAATGACCATTTCCCTGGATAGTATTCGCCCCAGAATTCTCATTCTCATCCAAATTTAACATTTCAGGTCTACATCTCAAAACCTGATCTCTTCCTGGACTGGCTTTAGGAGAACGATGATGCATATCAATTTCATCCCTGATCTCTATGACACCTGTGGTGGAAGTGGAGGGCAAATCGTAATCAGTTTGGGTTCCAGCCCCGAGGACCTCTGTAAACTTTGCTTTTTGGTGATGACTTAATTTCCGAGCTTGAAAAGGACGCTTGTGTGTTTATCATGGCCTCTCATATTGGAAGATAACATTAATGGCTTGTGTGTTGATCGACGGTTGTGCATATCTCTTGGTCAGGAAAGTTGTAGGCACCATCGCCATTGTAAATCATTTGACAGGCCCGAGTGAACGGGGCGACCTATGATTGGTCAGCAATGTATCAGATTCCATACCGGGGGGTGGGGATGAAAAAACTGTTGTAGTGTTACATAATCAGATTATTTCAACTTACTTATCCTGTGGAAATACAGCTATATAGGAGATATTTTGAAATTCATAGGCACTGCATGTTTCAACATTTTAGATTTGACCACAATCTGGCACTTGAAACTATGTTAACAGAGAAAAACTGTGTGGTTTTCGATGAAAGTGTTAAAAGTCTAATATTGCATCATGATTACTGTTTTAAATTATTTTCGTGTTTGATTTATATTGAATTCATCTCATCTTTTTGAAGAATGCATTTATGTTCAAAAATAAAAATGTTCTGTGGAATTCAAAATTCATGTGCTTTTAAATTATCAGATTCCAAACTGGGGGTAGGGATGAAAAAGCTGTTGTAGTGTTACATAATCAGATTATTTCAACTTACTTATCCTATGGAAATACAGCTATATAGGAGATATTTTAAAATTGATAGGCACTGCATGTTTCAACATTTTAGATTTGACCACAATTTGGCACTTGAAACTACGTTAACAGAGAAAAACTGTGTGGTTTTCGATGAAAGTGTTAAAAAGTCTAATATTGCATCATGATTACTGTTTTAAAGTATTTTCGTGTTTGATTTATATTGAATTGTATTTAGAAAACGGAGGAAACCGAATGACCCAGCGAAAAAACTCAAGAGATTGGACAGGCGACTCTACTCCTTGAAATTGAAACCATGCCACTTAACACAATGACAGATCTTGTGATTTCATGCGCATGCATTACCTACTAGACCATTCCCCCCAGCCCCACCCCATATCGAATAAAAGTATGACTTATTTCAAATATGATATTTACATATAAAGAAAGTAGAGAGACTTCAATCTTACTAGAAAAATACTAGATTACCTGAAATGAAATGGGGTTTAAAGACAACGTCCTACTGGTCAGCTCCGACTGGTCTAATGCATTGTGCTAAGTGAAAATGTTTGTCTGGGCAGCGACACTATGGCCTACTCTCATACCGAATTCAAACTGCCAAGAGAACTTTTATGTGTACGCCAATGTGTACATTGGATCTCAGGGGAAACCACTCTGCAAAATCAAGATGAGCTTTCTCGGTCAACCCCAAGAGATAACCTGTGGCCTCCATGCTAGTGTGCCAGCACCTAATTTACTCAGTCACCATGGCCGTCTTCTAATTACTGCGACAGTGAAACCATGTGACAAACAAGGATTATTAAGATAGACTTTTACGGCTTGGTAGTTCCTTGGGATTAAAACTTTTGATACATATAGATACATTAGTTTCAATTTCATATCACACAGTTTGTATATATGGTAAGGTAGCTTTAATCGTAAATTACATATCATGTATTTATTTTTTCAGTTTCAATATTGGATGTATATGCAAATCACCCAGAAAAAGATCATGTAATAACAAAAGAAATTATAAAAGAAAAAAAGGAAGAAGAAATGGCTGGAAAAAATGATGATAGAGCAGCTTTTTCTTGGTGGGTAACTATTCAATTCTAATAGAAGATTGTTATGCTATTTTGAAATCTAAAATTCAGTTTAGTATAGTAAAACTGTACACGTCATGTATGAGCAGAGACAGAATCTTAGTTATATGTAGATATCACTGTCTCATCTGTGGCAAAGCAAACCAACACATGAAACAAAACAAATGTAATTAAAGTAACATTTTTTTAATTAATCAAAACTGTCTAGTCAATTTAAGCCAACTAATACATTGCCATTTTTTTTTCAGTTACCCACCTCGGAAGATCAAGTTGGAAAGGGCTATTGATATTGTGGAGACGTTTTCTCACAGATCTTGCTTATCAGACAAAGACTATGTAAGTACCATGCATATTTGCTTTTTAAATCAGGAACTGGTTCTATACACTTGGTGGGGGGGGTGGATGGACGTTAAACCCCATTTCTCTCTCTCTCTCTCTCCTAAATATTGAGATTTTTGTTTACTTTTAAACTGCATATATTCAAGCTATCAGGAGCTTTTTATGGCTCCCGTACAATTTTATAAACATGAAGGACTGTACCTTTTGAATATTAAGCCATCAAATTATTTTATAATTTTGAAAATGAAATGAAATGGGGTTTAACATCCTACTGTTTTGCTCATAAATTGGGCAAATGAAGACGGCATACGCCATACAGTGTGCTATGAAGGGAATTTTGCCCGGGCAGCCGCGCTACAGCCTACTCTTATATCGAATTCCAATTGCCAAGGAATCTTTTATGTGCACGCCAATGTGTACACGGGACCTCGGTTTTTCGTCCCATCCGAACGACTAGACAGCTGTCCTTGTCAGGTCCTCCGTCCTGTATCACTGACAAGGGGAAAACACGCAAAATGTAAGTAACATATATATTTGTAATTTTAATCAGGAAGTACTTCTATACACTTGCTTGGTAATCTAGTTATTCTTCTTGGGGCAATGCCTAGGACTCTGCTGTTTCAAGTACTTGGCATGCTTGATTTTTGCCAATCACATCCATTGATTTCCTTCAAGTTGCGATAGGCCCTACATGTATGTGTATTTTTACAGTAAATAGCAGTAAAATAATGATGGACAGTATTTTACTTTCAAATAGATTTCAGTAGATTTTAAAGGGTAATATCCAATTTGTTGTCAATGGAAATAAAATAAGAATGGGTCCAAAAATAATTAGACATTACGCAAAGTTGAAACCAAATAGAGACTCAGTCTCGATGTGGCAAAAAAAATTGTTTATTTAAACGTTGTGAACCATAGAAAGTATTCTTATCTCCTACTTTTTATTTTTTAGGCTGGAACACCATTGAAAGAGTATTTGCTATATGATAACAACAAGAAAACCCAAGCATCAATTTATTTTATACTTCTGGGAAAGAATGCATTTGACCCAATTTTTAAATATTTATTTTTTGTTATTAATGTTAAATTTTCTTCCAAAACACAATTAGATTTTAATTCTCTTCAGAAATGTATGTATAATATAGCAAGTAAAGTGGCATATAAATCACTTAGAATTTGGTCAGAAATCATAAAGCATTAATAGGCATTACTAGAAACCAAATGTAGATCAAATACACCCAGAATTACAAAAAACCTTGACCTACATAAAGGTGACTTTCCCTTGCTTATGAAATGAAATACGGTTTAGTATCCTACTTTTCTGTGTTCTTAGAGTGATTCTGCCCTACACCCTACTCTTATATCAAATATTTCAACTGTCAAGGGTTCTTTAACGGGAACCCGGGGGGGGGGGGGGCAATGATTAACACGCACACATTTGATCAGGAAGTCTGTCATTGAGTCAAATAATTCAATTGTCAAGGCTTCTTCTAAGTGAACGCAGTGGGGATGGTTTCGATTCCGGGAATGGGGGAGGGGGTGGTGGATGGCCGAATGGTAAGCATGTGCGTGCAGTATCATACAGCCTGTCATTGAGTCAACTGGCGTGGTTTCGAATCCCCGGTTGTACGTGACAAGGAGTAGGGTCGCCTGTCCAATCTTGTGGGTTTTCTACGGGACCTACGGTTTCCTCCCACTGCTAAAGACCCCTATGCGCAACGAATTATTGAAATAAAATTAAACCATATGTTAATCCCGAAATGACCTAGTTTGTGTCAAGTAGACGTTAAACCCCATTTCTCTCTCTCTCTCTTTCGATTCCGGGCTTGTACCCAATTATCCCTTGCCATATCCAAGACTACTGACAAGTGGGAACTATGCCGGAAAATCCAGTTGAAATTTCTCGGCCAACACCTTATACTCACTGAACCACTGTGGCTTATGACTTGTGATTGTATATAAATTTTTTGTACATATGATATTTTTTTATTTCAATCCTGTAATCTTGATGCTTTGCTTCTTTTATTTACAAAATATTCATTTTGTTTGGGGTTTTTTAATGAGGAAAAGGTTTTACATCATTTTATTACTCCTGCGAAATAGTGCATTTTTCTTTTGTTAGTTTTCTGTGTATATTAGTTATTTCTATATGTCTCACAAATCACTTGTAGTGTGATTTTGTAGCACTTTTCAGTTTTTGAAATTGTTTCAATTTAGTGCATAATTAATCTTAGTGCTTGGTTTGGATGTTATTAAATTTAGATATTATTTGAATTATATATTTTGGAGTATGGGGTAGGGATACTGTGTACATATCTTTATATTCTCAGTTCTTGTTTTGGGGTAAAGAACAATTTATATAGCTATTTTATATTTTGTGATAGGTAAAGTGTGTGGGGTTAAGAACAATTTAAATAGCTATGTTATAATTTGTGATGGGTAAAGTGGGGTGTGTGTGTGTGTGGGGGGGGGGGGGGGGTCATTATATATAACACAATATAATTAGAATTCTCTGTTTTTCTGTTAACATTTCAAATATCTATTTAGTTTTGATGTATTAATTTACTTTTTCCTATGATTTTATGAATAAATAATAATCTTACAAAAACAAAAACAAATTTTGTTTCCTTCTTTTATCAAACTTTACAGGTCTAACAGAGCAAAGAGATGGGTCCTGCATAAAAAGGTTGCTATACTGTATATAAATTGGGGAAAAACACAACACAAGTTTTTGTGGATGGTTATACACAAGTTTGTATGAAACCACACAAGTTTCAGAAATTTCAACACAAGTTTCAGAAATTTTAACACAAGTTTCAGAAATTTCAACACAAGTTTCAAAAATTTCAACACAAGTATTGTGTAGATTTTCACACAAGTTTCAACACAAGTTTGTGTTGTTTGATAATTTTAACACAAGTTTTGTGTTGTTTCAACATTTAACACAAGTTTTTTGTTGTTTCAACACAAGTTTGTGTTGTTAAATAGAGACACCTTACTTGTGTTGAAAATAACACAAGTTTTTTTCAGTGTACTAAAGACTCCTATGCACAAGCGAATTAGTGAAATGAAATTAAACCATATATGTTATTCTCGAAATGATTTAGTCAGTGTCGAGTGGACGTTAAATCCGACCTCTCTCTCTCTCTCTCTCTCTCTCCCCTCTCTCTATTACGTGCATACCAATGTGTACACGGGACCACGGTTTTTCGTACCACCCGAACGACTGCCCTTGTCAGGCTCCCCGTCCTGCACCACCGAACCCGCGCCCGAACATCACGTTTAACTTTTTAAACTACCACCGGGAGTATACTCGAGACCGTACAACGTACAACCGGGGAATGGAAACAACGCCAGTTGACGCAATGACAGACCTTATGATACAACGCACGCGTGCTTACTATTCGACCATCCAACCCCCTGCATGTAAAAGGACCCTTGACAATTGACATTCAAAATAAGAGTAGTTCGTAGAGCCCCTGTCCGGGGCACAATTTCCCCCCATAGCCCATTATGGCGTATGCCAAGACAAGTGGGCCGTTAAACTCTGTTTCATTACTAAGTTAGGAACTAAATGAATAAAATTCTTTTTTGATTAAAGTATTTATTTAGGAGATAAACACCTCCCGTTTAGAATTTAGAGGACTGTTATTGTCCATTTGATACCGCTTTAATCATTAGAGGCCGATATCTCGTAGCGATCGAGCGCCTCTAATGAAAAATTTAAATGTGCCGATAACATTTGTCAAAATATCGGCTCTTTGGCTAGAAAAAAACCCACTTCCGATAGAAAACTATTATGCCTACAATACCGTACTATCCACTCAATTGTTATTACCAACCGTTTTCTTTAAAACACATTTTGTTAAATCCTTGGTAACGATGCGTGTGGGTTTTGTAATGAAGAGTCTGAGACAATATGTTAAAACTTTAAACATTCATAACTTCGCTAAGAAAAAGGTAGTTTAAAAGTATGGCACCACTCCTAATTATCTATGTGGACGTGTTCAGTCTTACATTCTATCGAAAAATGCGATCGAAATCGAAAAATGCGATCGCAGACAACTGATAATACCAAATTACAGGATGGCAACTTTTGTTTGAAGTAGCTACTGCTAGAAGGTGGAACTCATGACCTGTTAATCTTCGCCAATGCACCTCATTAACTTCATTCAAGAAACATTTAAAAACTCATCTGTTGCAAACAAGTTATAACTGAGAGCTATAGACCTTGTGTAGACATGTTTTGTTAAACGCTACGAACACAATTTTAAACTATTATAGCTAGAACTGCCATCTTTGTATTTAATCTTACCAACTCTTACATAATGGATCTTAATTTCTTAATATCGTGCACCATTATATTACTGCACGATTGAATATTGCAAGATAGCTTGATAACAAAAAGTTTATTATCACCCAATAAAACATTCTACAGTAGATATCGCTTGTGTGATAAATTCCATAATCTACTGCAATATGCATTTTTATTAAAATTTTGAATAGCCATTGTAATGTTTGTTTTCTTACTGAAAAGATAATTATTTACAGCTATTTTATGACAATATACACATTACATTGTAATTCGTTTGGGCATATTATTTGCAAATAGTTGTCCAATATCGTGGTTGCCGCTAAAGTTATTCTCGAAAACATTGGTTTTCATTATTTCCAATGACACTCGATCATTAGACAAAATGAAACATATAATAATACAAGTGCCTAAGGTCGCTTGGCTCAAAAACAATTTAGGTTTTTTTTTAAAAACCAACATGGGTTATTTCATTCCATAGCCTGGGGAGGACAAACATAATTTCCCTGGTGACGGGAGTGGGGGCGCCATCAAAAAATCGTCCCACTCAACATTAGAAAATCAAATCGGCCCACCATTACCTTATTTTTGCACCCAATAAAAATAGCATCGCCCGTCCCGGAGACGGAAAACATTTTAAAAAATTATCAATTATTACCCCCAGTTATAGGTCGAAAAGTAGTAAGTATAGCATTATGTAATAATGAAATGACTCCGTTGAATATTGATTTGTAGGCCTCATTTTGGTTTTATTGGATGTTTAAGAGACTCCAACAAAATGGCCCATTTTTCCGAAAAAAAACGGGCAATCGGCAAAAAAAAAATCAGCCCATCCCCAATACCTCCTGCTGTGCAGCCCTGTCCATAGCCCTTGTTGTGTCATATAAACAACCATAAAGTGTAAGCCTATATTATTTATTTCCAAGCATTTCTAGTTGAATTACTGAGCAGCCGAAGGTTCTAGAAAATAATGGTGATTCGTAGCATACTGGTGTAAATACTGAAAATTGAGTGGTGGCATTTTGGAGCAGAAATCCACACTAATCTCGATTTATAGATCCAGGGGCCTGTTTCACGAAATTTTAACTAAGATAAAAATCTAAATTTTAGTAATTTGATTGGATAATATTAGATTGATTTTAGTGTTAGCCAATCAAAATTGAAGTATCTACTAAAATTTGGATTTTATCTTTAGTTAAAATTTCGTGAAACAGGGCCCTGGGTTGTGAGGGGAAAGAGCAAACTGATCACCTGTAAACAGTTCAGAAGCTTAGGGTCGGCGAATTTGGCTTTTAAAAGATAGGGTCGGTAGATACGGTTGCTTGCCTATAAAAAAATGGGCTCGGTCGGAAAACGTCGTAATATTAATCTTTTATAACCTACGTCGATACTTGCAATCTTTAACCCTTGTCAAACACGGTGACATGACGATTTGGACTGTGTTGGAAATTGTAGAAAACCGCCCAAAGACAGATTTATAGGTCCTGGTAAATGAGAACAAAAATGTTTTGTAGAGTCGGCGATTTTGTTTGCAAACAAGCACGCCTTTACAGATTTATAGAATATGGGAAACGAGGAAAAATTATTTAGGGTCGGCGATTATGGCTAACAAAAATAGATTCGGTTGGGGAATCGTAAACACAAACTTTTTATATTATTTTAAATTTTTTGGGTGGTGTTATACGCCTATGAAGCTAATATGAAAACAGATAGTCCAGCCAGATCTCGATCAGCGCATTACCCACTCATGGTCATACACTGGAAATTATAAGTTATTACGATATGATCACTTCTAAAAAATATAAAACTATATTTGTGTACCGTACGGTAACTAAAAAAAATTCTAAAATCCAATCAATCTTTTTATTTACCAATCTGGTTAAAACACAGATCCTATTTCATTTCGTTTTTATAGTTCAAAATTTCGTTTTACTTGTCTTTACTACACTTGGATCTGGAAGAGTTGTTATTTAACTCGTGTTCTGAATGGTGTCAGGGATAAACCAATGAAACGGTCTGTTACGGCGAGCTTTAGGCGTGTTTTTCATGGAACTGTGGGTAATCCACTAGTAACATCAATGCTGATTGGTTAATCAAATGTCTGACGTCAAAAGGGTCGTAAGTCGGTCTTTTGACCCCTGGCGTGACCTATCGCTATATCTTGTCAGATCTTCATGTAGTGTAGTCCATCGAAAGTATAAAGAAACGAAAAGAAATATAGATCTGTATTTTAATCAGATCGAATATTTACAAGCGATATAACGATCAAAATAAGGTGCACAACGTGTATTGTTTACATTAGAAACGTCACGCTTTCGACTGTTCTTGACTGAACCGGAACTCGGCACTGATTTGTCATCGCGTCATTAGTAAACAGATTGGCGTCATCGGTCTAGTTAATATATATATACGTCATTGAGATAAACACTCATTTCAGTTCTATTTGGTTCACTAAGCGACTGGTTAATTGTGTCTGTTTGGAAAGGGAGGTCACTCTGCGATAACTTTAAAGATCGAAATAGAAATCGTAAGTGTATTTTATGTACATTTTAAATGAATTTGAACTCCAGCAGTGGCTAGGTTCGAAATAAATTGCATATCATGTTTGATAAATGTCCATGTATACACTCGTGTGACCGTGTAGCTGTGTAGCGTACGCATGTGGTTGCTATGCTTGTTTACGTTGTCATTTCGACGCTGTGAATGTGATTTTTTTCTTCGCAAAAAACCCTGGCCTGTAGGCCTATATGAGAATTAGTCTCTGTCCTATTCATATCAGTATCAGCCCGACTTGTATATTTTTAAAAATATATTACGGTCCATATGGAGTTCAATAAATTGTAGTATTTTTATTCACTTGTTGAAAATCTTCGATTTTGACTAGTCTGGTTATGATAGAATGACCATAGCAACCATTATTGTCAGACCAGCCTTGAAATTAAATTTACTTATTATCTTTCAAATACACTCACTTAAGGCCCGGTCCTAGTGGCCGATGGACACAACGTATGCAAAAAGGACACAGCGGACGAACAAACTTTTGTGGGTGGCTCCATCCGTTTTCATCCGCTCCAGAAATGGACAAAATTGACGAAAATTTGCAGAAAACAGAACGGAAAAGAACGAAAATGAAATGAAATGAAATGGGGTTTAACGTCCTACTGTTCTGCTCCTAACCTGGGCTAATGAAGACGGGCATACGCCATACAGTGTGCTATGAGGGAAATTTTGCCCGGACAGCGGCACTACGGCCTACTCTTATATCGAATTCCAACTGCCAAGGGATCTTTTACGTGCACGCCAATGTGTACACGGGATCTCGGTTTTTTCGTCCCATCCGAACGACTAGACAGCTTTCCTTGTCAGCTCCTCCGTCCTGCATCACTGACAAGGGAGAACAACGCCGGAAAATCTGGATGAACTTTCTCGGCCAATGCAGGGATCGAACACCCGACCTCCAGGCTAGCGAGCCAGCGTCTTACCCACTTAGCCACCGTGATCCCCGGAAAAGAACGAACGTGGGAAGTATGTAGCGGGGATGTTAAATGGAAGTTCATCGGAAGCCTAGTGGATGAAAGCGGGTGGAAGTGGATGACAGCTCCGAAGGGGTTAGGCAAATTCCAGACATCCTTCAATATACCAGATACATCCCAGATAAAAACGCTTTGACGCTTTGTCCGTTTTGAAAACTTTATTATACGAGATGCATACGCTTACACCCTTTCTATTTCCGTGCTACTAACGATGTATAGACGTTCCATGTACCTTATCTTTCCTCCCTCTTTCTGTTTTCAGCTGGAGCGGATGTGAGTTGCGAGGATGCCCAGAGGATGCAAAGAGGATACAGTGGACGTTTAACGGATGATAACGGACATGGAACGTTTGGTGCTCGTATATGTTGTGCATTTACATCGTACATGGCAGAAAGTTCGTCCGTTATAAAAGTTTTGTGCAGCTCAAAAGTTTTTGCGCGGATGAAATCAAAGTGAACGGATGCTCGATGGATAGAGCGTATGAAACACCCCGTACCGAAATGAAGTGTACACTTCCTCCGAAGTGTTCATTTCCAACACACTTCTATAGACACTCGATTGAAACAAATAAGTGAATGTACTGAAATATGGCGTCTGTCTAAAAATAGGTCATTAGCGGGGTTCGCTCTTCACGGAGTCCAAGTACTAGATACGCAGCTTATTATTGCGATATCCCCCCTTTCTGTATCGAGGAAATGTAATCCTGTATTCATTATTTACACATAATAATTAATCATATTGGTGGTTATTCGCTGTTTCGCTTCGTCTAAAGTCCAGTGGTACGGAACTCGTATTATTTGACGGGGATATGGCCGGGTATTTAAATTAAAAATATTGGTCTTACAATACAAAATTCCAGATGTCATATTACGTATCACTGAAAAGCACATTCTTTGCACTTTTCAAATATGTAAATTATTTTTTGGCACATTTATTTTTATTTACTTTGAAAAACAATCAATGTTGGATGGTACTAAAATCTATTACCATGTTTACGCAGAGGTGGTGTGTTGTTGTCCACCAACATGGCGGCGTCCTGTATCTAGGTCATGTATCGGATACCGGTACGCTCTATATATAGGCATAGACTATAATCAAAATGGCCGAAGAGAATTGAATGTTTTGATAGTTGAATTTGATTAGGACCTAATGTGGCTTTGAACACACGGCATGCAAGCATGCCTGCCTTATTTGACATTATATTATTTCAAATTATACTGCCACCATGGGCCGTAGGCGTTATATAGCGATTAGCGACGATTCCCGAATGATCGAGATTTACGGTCGGCATTTCTTTTATCAGGCTAACGCTTCAAAATGTACACAAGTGAATGACGAGTCTTATGTAAAGCTAATCTTACAAATAAACTTGCTATTTCTATCAATGTTTCAGGTACCTATAATAACAGACCATCATGTGTAGGCTACACGGTAAAAGTAAAAGTAAATTTGCTGGAAATTTGGTAATCCTTGTAAGACTTGATGTGTTGTGTAGGCTGCACGGTGCCGGTACATATTTAAAATATTTCATTCAATACCCGGTACGGTATTTTAAAAGACCAAAGCCACCAATAATACTCAATAAGCAATACATGTAGTTTTACATCTGACTGTCATAAAATTTTGTAAATGTATATGATAGCCTAATATTGCTGTGATATTTAAGCAAAACTTTATTAATATAACCAAATAATAAACTGGATCTTAGTAAAGCATCTAAAGAATGGGCTAATGTAAAGCAAATTAAGATTTGGCAAATAAAAATTCCATTTGGCCATAAAATATATAAACAATTTTGCATGTGAAAGTGATAGCTATAAATTGCTATATCCTATGTTTACAATATTATGCTGCTGACATTTTATTGTTGTTGAAATGAGTTAGTGCATATTGCTTTAAGCGCTGGACGCAGTAGCCGAATGATTCTGCCGAATGAATCCGCGCTTAATGATTCGCGAATCAAACATGTTTGATATATTTGCCCGAATTATATTTAATCACCAATCATATCGAGAAGTCACGTGATTGTTTGAAGACATGGTTGCTGCCATGTTTAATCATGCGATGTCAAAGGTGATGCAATCGACTTGTGAATCAGGTGAGAGTATGCCCACTTATTTGGCCGAATGATTCAGCTAGTGTATCCACGACAGACCTTGTGATTTCATGTGCACACATTAAGCACAAAACCATTCAACCCCCACATTGAAAAAATGAAATGAAATGGGGTTTAACATCCTACTATTCTGCTCCTATGCTGGGCTAATGAAGACGGCATACGCCATACAGTGTGCTATGAGGGAAATTTTGCCCGGGCAGCGGGACTATCGCCTACTCTTATATCGAATTCCAACTGCCAAGGGATCTTTTACGTGCATTCTAATGTATACACGGGACCTCAGTTTTTCGTCTTATCCGAAGGACTAGACAGCTGTCCTTGTCAGTCCCTCCGTGCTGCATCACTGGCAAGGGGGAACCACGCCGGAAAATCTCAATGAACTTTCTCGGCCAATGCAGGGATCGAACCCCCGACCTCCAGGCTAGCGAGCCAGCGTCTTACTCACTTAGCCACGTGACCCCCTCCCACATTGAAAAGAAAAGACACAAGCAAAGAACTAAATGTTAGCCCAGAAGTTACCTGGTTTGTGTTGAGTGGACATTAAACCCCATTTTTCTCACTATCTCATATACAAACACAAAATGTGCTGTGGGAAATTTTACCTTGACAGCTGCCATATGACCTACTCTTATATCAAATTAAAACTGCCATGGATTCTTTTACATGCTGGTTTCGATTCGCTGTATTATAAAGTCTGTCATTGAGTCAACTGGCGTGGTTTCAATTCCCCGGCTGTACAAGACAAGGAGTAGGGTCGCCTGTCCAACCTCGTGGGTTTTCTCCGGGTCCTCCGGTTTCCTCCCACTGCTAAAGACCCCTACACGCAAGCGAATTATTGAAATAAAATTATACCATATGAAAGGCCCCAAATGACCTAGTTTGTATCGACTGGACATTAAACCCCATTTCTCTCTCTCTCGGTCAGACAATTTGGGAGAATGCACAGACAGCGGTGCTATATGAACAGTATGAACAACTAGATGCTGTTTCTTGCCAGGACCCTTGTCCGACACCACTGTCAATGGTAAATTATTCCGGAAATCCTGAGTAATTTTGTTGACATGCCGGGATCCAACCTGGGATAATTGAAGCATTTATTCTTAACACAAAAGAATTACTCATGCTCTTATTATCAAAAAACGTTCAAAAAAGACACCCATTACATATGCCATACAGTGTGCAATGAGGCACTAAGGCCTTACATGTATCTTATTTCAAAATCCAACTGTCCAACTTTTACATACACGCCAATGTGCATGTGTGATGTCGGTTTTTTTTTGTTGTGCCATCCGCACGACTATACAACTGTTTCCTCCTGGTCCCCATGGTTTTCTCCCACTACAAAAGACCCCTACAGCCAAATAATTGAAAAAAAATTGATCCATGTGTTAGTCCTGCTATGGCGTAGTTTGTGTAGAGTGGACATTAAACTTCATTTCTCTCCCTTCTTGCCAGGCCCTATGTCCTGCACCACTGGAAAGGGGGAACCAAGGCGTAAAATCTAGAAGAGCTTTCCTGGGCAATGACAGGATCGAACACGGGACGACTCGGATAGTGTGCCAACATCTCACTCACTGAGGGGGGGTGGATGACCGTATGGGTAGCACGTGCTCACTGTATTATAAAGTCTGTCATTGAGTCAACTGGCATGGTTTCGATTCCCTGGCTGTACAAGACAAGGAGTAGGGTCGCCTGTCCAACCTTGTGGGTTTTCTCCGGGTCCTCCGATTTCCTCCCACTGCTAAAGACCCCTAAGCGGAAGCGAAGTATTGAAATAAAATTGAACCATATGTTAGTACCGAAATGCCCTAGTTTGTGTCGAGTGGACATTAAACCCCATTTCTCTCTCTCACTCACTGAGCCACAGTGTCTCCCAATATCAAGCAAGAATTTTCTTTGATCTGACAAGCTGGATTATATTCAATATACATGTAAGAACCAGAATTGTTTTAATTTGAGACAATTTTTTTAGATGTGGTTTAAAATTATATTACATTCATTAAAGTGAAAAGAAATTGTACGACATGTACTTGTAAAGTTGTTTGATATATACAGTTTCAAAACAAATTTGGTTTTGTAAAACAAAAAGTTACTGTAGGCCCTATTGAAATTTTCTCTTTCAGTATTTGACCAAATTTGTTATTGATGCCGACAAAATTTGGTTTTGATACCATAAATTAACCTTCCAATACACCTATGTAAACTTTTGATAATACCGGGGGTGGGTTTTGGATGGCTGAATGGTTAGCGTGAGTGCGTTGTATCGTAAGGTCTGTTATTGAGTCAACTGGCATGGTTTTGATTCCCCTGTTACGTGACTAGGAGTAGTCGCCTGTCCAACCTTGTGGGTTTTGTCCGGGTCCTCCGGTTTCCTCCCACTGCTAAAGACCCGTATGTGCATGCGCAAATTTTTGAAATAAAATTGAACCATATGTTAGTCTCAAAAAGACATTAAGTAGGTCTGTAGTCTATATTAAAATTGCGAGAATCTGTCATTTAAAAAAAACAGTCCTAGGCCTAAGTAGGCCCTGAAATGAAATGAAATAGGGTTTAACGTCCTACTGTTCTGCTCCTGGTTTTGATTCCCCAGTTACGTGAAGAGGAGTAGTCGCCTGTCCAACCTTGTGGGTTTTCTCCGGGTCCTCCGGTTTCCTCCAACTGCTAAAGACCCCTACGTGCATGCGCAAATTATTGAAATAAAATTGAACCATATGTTAGTCTCAAAAAGACATTAAGTAGGTCTGTAGTCTATATTGAAATTGCGAGAATCTGGCATTAAAATAAAAAACAGTCCTAGGCCTGCGTAGGCCCAGAAATGAAATGAAATGGGTTTCACATCCTACTGTTCTGCTCCAGGTTTTGATTCCCCAGTTACGTGAACTAGATCTATGCAGAGAATTGATTTATTCATTTCATTTTCATGGCATATCATTGCCATTGTGATTGTCGAATTGAGGCGCCATGGGTGTGTGGACGAGTTGACCTATGCCGTGTCAACGACTAACCAGTGTACATGTATTTTAATATTTGTGGACTACATAACTAGACTTTTTGTGTGGACGAGTTAACTGGCATTCATTTTGAATGATTACAGTTGATTTCGGTAAATTTAAACTGTGGTACACTGTATTGGTACTTGAAAAAAGGTGAATTTATTTCGTCTTTATTTTTTTTTTCAGAGGTTGTAAATTAATAATCCACCAGTGCAGTATGTGAAAAATGTGTCTAGACAAGATGGTAAATTGAAGTAAACTTATTCTGTCACCCTACATGTCTGTTATCCCATACATGGGCTGATGATCTGAAATCCGTTAGTTCAATGGCTCTTGAGGTTGATACATGGTTGGGCGGCCTGAGAATCTGAAAGTCAGTTATAGAGATTACCCCTCAGTACTGCTGTCCAATAATCATACGTTCCCTAATTCCCTGTAGTTTAAAGGCAGCTAATCTTTCAAACTTTTATTCCGATGGTCCCAATATTGAATAATTTCTCAAGTAGAAATCACATGGAATCCACCCTCGCCACTGTTACAGTTCAGGGTTCGATAACAGTGTTGCCAAGTAAGTTCCTCACAATTTCCTGGCATGATTTCTCCTTGTCAGATTCAGATAGGAAGAAAACCATGGACATGGAGGACACATAAAAGAACCCTTGGCAGTTGGAATTTGTTATAAAAGGACATGGAAGACACATAAAAGAACCCTTGGCAGTTGGAATTTGTTATAAAAGGCTGCAACTCTGCGGTCCAAACAAAACTTCCCTCAAAGCAACAGAAACCCTCATTGTCATAGGCCACTGCATAGCGTATGTTCATCTTCATTCAACCTCATTTCCCTTTTTTTTTTTCAGAAAAATTCCAATTTTAAAGTAAAGAATTCAAAGACGTGTATGACATGATGCGAAACACTCATTACCTTATGCATGTGTAGGTAATATTTAAATTGATTTTTAAGAAAACTTGCTTCACAGGTCAAATTTAGCCTAGAACACTGTAAATGATTTGGCTTAGTAAGACGCAGGCACCCTAACCAAGAGGTCTTTGGTTTGCCAAGAAAGTTCTGGAGTGGTTTTCCCTTGTCAGCGTGGTGGGACTGGGAGGGCCTGGCAAGGACAGTATCCAGTTGTTCAGAATTAGATGGTACAAAAAACACAAGATCTACAAGAACCCTTGACAGAATTCAATATAGTAGGCTTTAGCGAAGTGGTTCTGGGCAAAATTTCCCTTATAGGTCACTGTATGGCATATATCTGTATTCATTAGTCTGGTGGGTGCTTAAAAGTAGACATTAAATTTGATTAAATTGTTATGCTTGGTATTGTTGCTGGAAAATAAAACATGACACATTCCTAACTCAACATTAACTTTTTAGGGCAAGTAGTTCAATGATTTCACTTGCCTGAAAATGAAACTGATTGCCCAAATGTACAAATTGCATCAATTTTGCTTTGTGGGATAATTAAGTCATATAGGTGGGATTGTTTATGTAGTCTGATAAAAAATTTCCAGTTAACTTTTAATGTCACTCCCCGATCCTTTTTATACACCAACATTTTCATGTGGACGTATATTGTCGTCGCCCCTGTCCGTCCGTCCACAATTGCTTGTGAACACTCTACAGGTCACAATTCTTATCCAATTTCAACAAAACTTCAAATATAGGTATATCTCCCCAAGATCTCGGTTCCTTTCGATATTAATATTAGCATGTATCGGACCATAACTTCCTGAATTATGGCCCCTGATTGTACGAAAAATCGCATTTTTAGCTTGTGGACCCCATAGAGGTCACAATTTTTATCCGATTTAAAAAAAAACGTGTGAATATATCACCTTTACACACTAAGAGTGGTTGAGTTCGAATTTCGTAAAAATCGGACCGAAACTGACGGACAAAATGGCCACCCCTCGTTCGCAAATAGTGTCAAAATATTGCGTATCAGGGTTGTGGACCCTCTGGAGGTCACAATTTTCATCTGATTTTAATGAAACTTCAAATGCATGTTTATAACCCACAGATCTCGGTTCCTTTCGATATTTGCGCATATCGAACCATAACTTCCCAAATTATGGTTCTTGATTGTACGAAAAATCACGTTTTTAGCTTATGAACCCCATAGAGGTCACAATTTTTATCCAATTTAAAAAAACATGTGAATATATCACTGTCACACCCTAAGGGTGGTACGTTGAGTTTGAATTTCGTAAAAATCGGATCGAAACCGACTTACAAAATGGCCAGCCCTCGTTCGCAAATAGTGTCAAAATATTGCGTATCAGGGTTGTGGTCCCTCTGTAGGTCACAATTTTTATCTGATTTTGATAAAATTTGAAATGCATGTTTATAACCCACAGATCTGGGTTCCTTTCGATATTCGCGCATATCGAACCATAACTTCCTGAATTATGGCCGAAAAATCGCATTTATAGCTTGTGGTCCCCCTAGAGGTCACAATTATTATCCGATTTAAAAAAACGTTTGAATATATCACCATTATACTCTAAGGATGGTCGAGTTCGAATTTCGTAAAAATCGAACCAAAACTGACAGACAAAATGGCCATGCCTCGTCAAATAGCGTAAAAATATGGTATATCAATGTTGTGGACCCTGTAGAGACTTGAAATGCATATTTACAACGCAAGATCTTGGTTCCTTTCGATATTCATGCATATTGGATCGTAACTTCCTGAATTATGGCCCTTGATTATATGAAAAGTCGCGTTTTTAGGATGTGATCCCTCAAGATGTCACAATTTTTATCTGATTTAAAAAAAGTTTGAATATATCACTGTTACACCCTTATGATGGTTGAGTACGAAGTTTCGTACAAATTGGACCAAAACTGCCGGACAAAATGGCTGCTCCTTGTACGCAAATATTGTAAATATATGGTATATCAAGGTTTTGGACCCTCTGGAGAGAGGACACAAATTTGATCCGATTTTGATGAAACTTGATATACATGTTTATAACCCAAAGATCTTGGTTCCTTTCAATATTCATGCATATCGGATCGTAACTTCCTGAATTATGGCCCTTGATTGTATGAAAAATCACTTTTTTTAGCTTGTTCTCTGTCCATCTCTTGCAAAATGTGGGCATATCATGCATGGCAACCGCTTGTTAAAAAAAGTATGGGGATTGTTTGTAAATTGCTGCAATTAAATTGTATCTTTTTCTCACTATACATGTAACTCATCCACTCATACGGAGGGGCTGACAAGGAAAGCTGTCTTGTCATTCGGATGGGACGAAAAACCAAGGTCCTGTGTACACGTTGGCGTGCACGTAAAAGATCCCTTGGCAGTTGGAATTCGATATAAGAGTAGGCCGTAGTGCCGCTGTCCGGGCAAAATTTCCCTCATAGCACACTGTATGGCGTATGCCCGTCTTCATTAGCCCAGGTTAGGAGCAGAACAGTAGGATGTTAAACTCCATTTCATTTCATTTCATTTCATACCCTCATTTTTGAGAAGAATCATCCTATCTGATCTAAAAAGATAATTTTATGTTTTCAGATGGTGAGCTTGTGACCCGGATGGATGAATGATGGAAAGACACATAAGTGCTGTATACAGTATTTGGTATAAATCAGTCATTGAAAGTCATTACAGCTGAAGATTTTAATGACGCTCTGTACTGGTACTAACAATGTTGATTACAGTCAATGGAAGGTAATCCTTTGTAGGCATTCACATTTCAATACAGTCGTATATTTCCGTCATCCACTCCTGTGGTCTGTCATCCATATTTGTCTTAGCACAATACAGGCCTTAGTCTTAGTTAATCCCCTTTCCTTCATGGATTATAGCACCTGATTGTATTGAAAAAATCACATTTTGAGCTTGTGAAACTTCCAGGAATCACAATTTTTATCTGATTTTAAAAAAACCGTTCAACTATATCACCGTTACATCTTAATAACAGTTGAGCTCAAATTTCGTGAAAATCAAACTGAAATTGCCCAACAAAATAGCCAAGGTTTTGGACCCATCTAGAGGTCGCAATTTTGAACTTAAAATGTATGTATATAACCCAAAGATCACAGATCCTTTCAATATTCACGCATATTGTGTCGTAACTCCCTGGATCTCATTTCCTTTCAATATTCATGCATATCAGACCATAACTTATAGATTATGGCCCCTGATCGTATGAAAAATTGCATTTTTAGCTTGTGGACCCTTTAGAGTGACAATTTTTATGATAAAACTTGAAATGTATGTTTATATCCCAAAGATCTCGGTTCATTGGAATATTCGGGCATATCGGACCAAAACTTATGGATTATGGCGACTGATTATACAAATCACATTCTAGAGATCACAACTGTTATCCAATTTTGATGAAACTTAAATCGCTTTTTTGGCTTGTTCTCTGTCCACCTCTTACAAAATGTGGGTGTATCTTGCATGGCATCTGCTTGTTTTCACTGTGTTTCCATGGGAATCTGGGGGGTTGGATGGCCGAGTGGTTAGCTCATGTCTGTCATTGAGTTAACTGGCATGGTTTCGATTCCTCAGTTGTATGTGATGAAGTGTAGGGTCAACTGTCCAATCTCATGGGTTTTCTCCAGTTTCCTCCCACTGCTAAAGACTGCTACGCGCTATCGAATTATTGAAATAAAATGGACCCATATATTAGTCCCGAAATGACCTAGTTTGTATCAAGTGGACGTTAAACCCCATTTCTCTCTCTCTCCACATGAATTTAGTATTTTCTAGTAAGATTGGGTGTCTCTACTTTCCATATCCAAACTTACCATATTTTATTCGAAATAATCACCCTATAATTACTTTTTCTGAATGCATCTTTAACTGAACATTTTTTTTGTTTTAATTTCAGGTTAATCAAACCAGAATAACAGCACCTATGAATGTGGTCGAATAAGGTGTGGAGGTGATTAATAGCAACATTGAATGTGGGTTGAATATGGTGTGTTAAAGATGCAAGAAAACACACGAAATGTGTAAACTGTAATGGATTATAGCCTGGCGCTATCCAAATTACAAAACACCTGCCCTTGAGTCTATAATTATTTATTTTTTATGGCACCCACATTTTCATGTCGCTGCCTCTGTTCGTCCAGATGTACCTCCGGTGAAATTTGTTTGTGGTCACAATTATCCGATTTTAATGAAATTTAAATGTATATTTATATTCAAATCATCTGGGATCAGATTCATTTTGAACTCTAACCTCATGGATTATGGCCCCTTATATTGTGGTAAATTGGGTTTTTAGCATGTGGGCCCATCCAGAGGATTTTGGCATAGAATATTACACCTGATTGTACGATCCATTGTTTTTAACTTCTGGATCCTCTAGAATTCGCAGTTTTATATGCCAACATTTCCCATGCCTGAATTAACCCCTCTTTGCTGAAGATTTGACTTTCGAGTTCAGAGTTATGCCCCATAGCCAAAAACTTTGAATTTGATAGGAGTTACAGTTTTTAACCGGTCCTTTTCAGATTTGGTGTGAAGCATTGGATTCATGAGATCACAAACCCCAACGATATGCAGTGATTAGAAGATAACCTTTTCAAAAAAGCTTGTGAGTGTGATGAGGCTACAATTTATTAATTTGCCGTGTAGCTTTGGCACCATGAGAGGACAAATCCAATAAATTTCAGCAATCCACACTTAACCCACTTTTTTGGAAACCATGTGAACGTGATAAAGCTACAATTTTTTTAACAGATTTTTTTCTAATTCTATATGAAACATTGGGACAATGAGTGGATTAGCCTTATTTATATTCCTTATTCTCTTTTGCAATATGTGGGTGTATCTTAGATGGCAACCACTTGTTAATTGTATCAATTGTGTTGTAATATTTTGAAAACAATAATAAATATCAAAGTGTTATTTTGTTTCATATTTGCGGTTTTTCAGCATAACTAGGATTATTCAGTGTGCTATGAGGGAAATTTAGCCCAGATGTGGCTTTTCTGAATTGTCCTCTTTTAATTACACAGGTTTCTTTTTTTTTACATGGACGACAATTTCTACATGGAACTTTGGCTTTTCAGCCCCATCACTATCACAACCAAACACCATCCTTTGCCAGGTCCTAGATCCACTGATCAGGCGAACGGTGCAGAAAATCCTGGGAGGGTGGAGTAACTTTCATGACCGACACTGGGATCAAATACAGCCCCCCCCCCACCTGGTTTGTGAGCTAGGCCTCACACTGTTGAAGTCTGCAACCTTACTGGGTAAAAGTGATAATAACAACCAATAAGCACTGGGTTAAAGTGAGAAAAACACCCGATAAGCACTGGGTTAAAGTGAGAAAAACACCCGATAAGCACTGGGTTAAAGTGAGAAAAACACCCGATAAGTACTGGGTTAAAGTGAGAAAAACACCCGATAAGCACCGGTTTGAAGTGAGAAAAACACTGGGTTGAAGTGAGCAAAACACTGGATTGAAGTGAGCAAAACACTCCATAACCACTGGGTTGAAGTGAGAAAAACACCTGATAAGCACTGGGTAGAAGTGAGAAAAACACCCGATAAGCACTGGGTTGAAGTGAGAAAAACACCTGATAAGCACTGGGTTGAAGTGAGAAAAACACCTGATAAGCACTGGGTTGAAGTGAGAAAAACACTCCATAAGCACTGGGTTGAAGTGAGAAAAACACTCCATAAGCACTGGGTTGAAGTGAGAAAAGCACCGGGTTGAAGTGAGAAAAACACTAGATAAGAACTGAGTTGAAGTGAACAAAACACTCAATAAGCGCTGGGTTGAAGTGAGCAATACACTCGATAAGCACTGAGTTGAAGTGAGAAAAACACCCGATAAGCACTGAGTTGAAGTGAGAATAACACCCGATAAGCACTTGGTTGAAGTGAACACTTCGTTGAAGCCTAATTTGCATATTTGGCATGGCTTCTTCCTCACTTCAACATCATTTCTACCTTCTTTATTTCATTGAAAATTTGAAGTGTTGTTACGGAAGTGTGGTAGAAATGAACACTTCAGATATCAAATTTTTCACTTCGAGCATGTCTCGGTTTAGTGTCACCTACACTTCATATGGGTGGCGTCATCACTTCATTTGCGTGAGGGACGTATGCAATGAGTACACAACGGATGCATGGCGTTTTCAAACTGAGTGCACATTTTTTCCCCGTTTTACATCCTCTTTGCATCCGTAAGTGCAGTGGGACCGGGCCTTAACTTTGTTTTTTTGTGGGTTTCAGGTGTGTTTCAATAACACGAGGTACAATTTTATGGATATACAATTACTGAGTTTCATACTAAGCGACGTTTCGACGAGGATACTCTCGTTTTTATCAAGCAAATGGTGTATCAAACTCAGTATCAAACTCAGTAATTGTATATCCATAAAATTGTACCTTGTGTTAATATGAACGTTTTTTTTCTTTCATTTATGATTGCAAAGCTATTTCATGTTTCTACATAAATTTTTTGGCTATAATTGGTGGGGAAGGACAAGTTTTATTGGAAAGTCAGGTTAGATTTGGTATAGGAAAACACTTTTTCATTTTTTTAAAAAAAATGTGGGTATTCAATGTTGCCTCGTCAATGGGGTAACTTTGAACAGTACATAAAATTCCATTCGATAAATGTCAATTCACGTTGGAGACATCTGGGAATAAAAACTAAGACACTGTATAAGACGTATTATGATATTTTAATAAATTTATCAAAATAGAATTAACATTTTAACAAAAAAATATTAATTAAATTTATTTAATAAATAATCAACAATTGAACAGAAATTAACAATTGAAAAGAAATTAACAGGAATTAACAATTTAACAGGAATTAACAATTTATTGTAAAAAAATATAAATAAAAATATCTAAGATATTTACTTAATCAATTCATCAACAATTCAATTATCATTTTAAGAAGAATCAACAATTTACTGTAAATTACATAGGTATGAACCTAATTCACGTTTCAAAAAGGTTAGTCCAAATCTTCTATAGATTTCGGGAACTGATAAAACCTTAATAATTTGTTTGAACTCAATAGTGCCAACATCAGGGATATTCGGCCATAAACACCTACAAGGCACCTTTTGCGAAGCACGGAGAAAAGAAACATCATACATATAGTTTTGGGAATCGGTTGACTTAACACAAAATTGACCAACAGTTGGTTCTCGGATTTGTTTTACAGCATCATCAGTATCAATTTCTTCCACATCATCAACATCAACACTTCCCAGCATACCACTACTACTAACAGTATCCGATTCGAATCCACTCTCATTTTCTTTATCAACTTCCATGACTACCGGTATGTTTTCTTTTACCGAATTAATATCTTCAACACTAATACTACAACCTGGTTCAACATCTATTCTCTTCATTCGCTTTTTTAGCGGTTCGTCTTCCGGATTAACTCCTCTTAATGTCATTAACAAATCTATTAATGAATTAGATACATCCAAAGATTTATTTAATGAGCTGTCAGGAAGTCGTGCTTGAACAATATCTTGGTCTAGTGGGAAAATACCACATTTTTAAATCCTGCAACTAGATGTTCACTTATTTCAGATTCTGTAGGGTATATTTCAGAGTATAATGATTTAAGAAGGCGTGGAAATTGATCTTTACTTAAAACTTGTGATTTCTTGCCTTGTTTAGTTTTCCATTCATCCAATATTTTTCGCCAAGAACGTTTCAGTGGCCCATAGAAAGATACATCCAATGGCTGTAGAATATGAGTTGCATTTGGTGGTAGACAAGTAAAAACAATATTATTTTCCTTTGCAACTTTGAGAACCCGTTCACCAAAGTGGCTACTAAGATTATCATGCAACAAAAACAGTTACAAACCAATCTTCAAAAGTCGTATTATCAAACCAGCCACTTCTACTCCTGTTGTATCTGGTATTTGCGGGTCTACCCTCTATCCAAGTTGACCATATATGTTCACTTTTATATACTACGTATGCTGGGAGCATTTTTCTAGCGGCAGACCCACAAAACATAATGGAAGTTGCTGTTTTTGAGCTGTTTTTAATTCTTTCCGGATATTTTACACCTCTTTGGAAAATACATTTTTTGGACCTGGATCATCAGATAAATTTGCTTCGTCATAATTGAAGACGTTTTCTGGGTTTATTTGGCTGCCATCATCATTAAGTAAACTTTGCTGTAAATTATTAAAAAAAAACTTTCAACAGTCGACGACGATATACCTGCCCGAGCTGATTTGATATTTTGGCAATTTCTTCTTACTAAATGTTGCCCAATCAACACTGGGGATGTTTTGTTTAAATTGAACTATGGTGCGATTTTGACGATTTAAATATGATTTTATCAGGAGTCGTAAATCTAATAGATCCAAAGGAAATCCCCATTCAGACACTAATACCATATGACTAATTAAATGATCTTCATCTTCTTGTGAGAAAACTGGAGGCCGACCAGGCATACCAAGGTGTTATAAATAATAGATGCCTTTCTTAAACTATTAGTGCCATTTTTAATTGATGATACTGCATCTTTAACGAATCTTCGGAGTAGTTCTTGTATGTATGTGATCCAAGCTTTCTTTTGTAATTCCGAACCATATTTAATGTAAAAATACAAAAAGAGTAGTTAATTTATTCATTACTAATACTCATATGTTTATGATATGTCAGAAACATGACAATTATTATGAATAAATGTCTTTGGGGCAACGTTGCCCCGTTTTTCTTTGTAAATGGTGTATTTTAAAATTTGTTAAGCTCAAACTTTTATTTTTGTTCAAAATCATAAAGTAATTGTTTCAACTTTGGTAAAAATGTTTAATCTACATAAAAATGGAGTTTTCTAAGGTTAAATAATCTATACTTACATATTTCTAGTATAAAGTTGACAAGCTGTACATTTGTTCTAGGCACGACCTTGACAGTAAGGTTACAGATGCATGATGGGAGTAATATTTCATAAAATACAAAACATTTTTTTTTTATCTAAAATAATATATTTATTCAAATCAATTATTATTTATACAATATAAACAAATAAATAAAATATATATGATGCTTAAACAAAATACTGAAAAACGTTCAAAGTTGCCCCAACCCTGATGACATACAAGAAAAAATTCGTGAAGATTTCCTAGAATAAAGTTTTGAGGTGTAGAATTTTTGGCCACTGCAAACAGAGTCTAGCACCCAGAAAATATTCATTCGCAGTGAGTCGCCCAGGAAATTTAGAGGACTGTTATACTCATTCGACGCCACTTTTCGACCAATCAGAATCCACGAAATTTTCATTTTGGGCTACAATACATTATAATTAATAATTTTAGTATTTTTCAATTTAAACTATTTAATAGCATCTCTATTAGATATATAACTATAAATATTTATTGTAATTTAATAGAAACTCTATTATGAACATAACAATAAATATTTATTGTAATTTAAGGTAAGCTATTTAAAACATATGTACAGGTTGTCTCTACTTTTGTGGTCTACATTCGTCCAGCTTCTGTATAAAAAAACAACAAGATTTCAATTAAAAATAAACACAAACTGTATTGTAAAACATCTTTATAATAAATGATTTTTCTATGTCAGGAAATTATGAACAATCCTTTCAATGGGACATTGGAGTCGCAGTGGCTCAGTGAGTAAGACGTTGGCTCGCTAACCTGGAGGTCGCGTGTTCGAACCCGGTATTGGTTGAGAAAGTACATCGGGATTTTCCGGTTTGGTACCCTCTTGTCAGGCCTACTGTTCTGCTATGAGGGGAATTTGACTTGGGCAGCGGCACCACGGCCTACTCTGATTGTGAAAGGACGCCCGGAAGGACAAGGGCGACGACATAATACGTCCACAAATTCAGGCATACTGTGTGTCTTTAAATGCCAAGAATTGTACGAAAAGGAA